AATGGGTCCCAAATTTCGGGACGCAACTTTTAAAACCGTTTTATCGAGAGAGAATGTACACAGCAAACGTCGACGACACGACATTTGCGATACAGCATATGTTGCAAATTGAATCCGTAGTCCGTACCATGGTCCGTAGTGTGAACGAAGAATCCAAATCCGACGATCCGCAATCCCAATCCGATCCGCGTTCGCAATCCGTAGTGTGACACGATAAAGGGGCGGCCATCTCTCTCTCTCCTGTAACCTCATTCTCGAGCTTACGCCGGGAGACCAGACGAGCATATTTTCTCCCCGAGATATGGAATTCTGGTATGTTATCTCTGGACAATTCTCTGGCTGTCAAACCTTATCTCGGGGATCACCTGGTCATCTCTGTGGACGCTAGTCAAGCATACAAAGGTTATCGGCTTTCATTATCTATATGGAAGGGCTGGAACGCCACTATATTCTGGAAAGCCTCTGGTTATTACGACGGTCATTCTGACCGATAAGTAACTCTGCAACTCGTGAGTACTATTCTCTTTCTAGATCCTCGAGAGGACTGTCTCGAATTTAGTATCTTAACCTAAAGATAACCGATGTCATGCCACTATACTGAGTTGGTTTAGAGAAAGGCGAAATCATATAGGGTAATAACGCAAAGAAGAGGATAACCTTCTCGAAGAGCTTCCCCGTCGGAGAGGATAACCTTCTCGAGGAGCTCCCCGTCGGAGAGCTCTGTCTAATGTCGTTCAATCTCCAAAGGCACGGATAACAGGAAGGTGGCAAATCTTGACCGGATTCGAAGACCGTTTGGTATACTTATGCCTTATATTTTATCCTATGTATATTACTCATAGCCTCAGCGTTCTCTTATGTGACATAACCTTGATTCGCTTGGCCATACACACGTCAAAGTATTATTTCACATGATGCTTACTTAATATATTATTCGTTCATTCACAGTATATCTTTCTAAATGTTTCTGTAATTGGTGCATCATATTAGTACTCATATACTATCGTATTAATTCATAATACTTATATTCAATATATTACTCCTATTAGTTTCACCGATAAATATTCAAGTATATTTAAATGAATGATTTCTGACATTTAAGCGTCTTAGTTTAGTCATTAAGATTATTATTAGTGGTTACGAATTTTGCTAATTATCCTGATATTATTATGTTTATTTTACACTGTTATTGAATGTTGTCGTATTTCCGATTATTATATGAATCAAACCAATGTTATTATTTGTTAGTTTGTAAGATTTATTCAATGATAATTGTTGTAATACTGTATCTGGACTATCTGATTATCGAATCACCTCAAGTTGAATTCCGTTTAACCACCAGCTGATAAGAATATAGAGTATCTGACGAAATAACATCTCGTTAACATTATGGCTTACCTCAAATCTAACCTGATGAATCGACCGTACAAGTAATATCGTGTGAGTTTTGTAGTTTAGTACTTAAAGAAAATCATATTAGAAATTGAAGGAAAGCCATATCGAGGCAAGTTCCACTTATACGTAATCGCTTTCCTTGTTTTGGAGATTTGGAAAGAACAAATAATATACTTGAAATCTTTCCATATATTTATAAAAATGATACAAATAAAATATCAGTGTCTCAATGTACATGTTTTAATAAAAGTTCAATGCTTAACATTTTAAAATTTACATCATAAATTGTTATGTGTATGGAAGTATTCTATTTCATCACGTTGAGACTGATCACAGCCATTTGGCGGCAGATGCCTAAAGTTTTTCTACTAGACAAGCGATGTAAATGGTTTGTGGTCAATCACAATGTGATTAAACGAGTTCTATGCAAAGCAATGTCTCATACACATTCATAACATTTTACAGTACTTAACACATAACATTATACAACGCTTAATCTCGTTTGTATTCTAACAGTAATGCGACTACAATCGAATATCACATTTTGAACAGTAGATTATAATAGTAATATCACATTTTACAGTAAATTAAAACATTAAAGCTTTATGGCTCCTGCACACTGGATGCGGAAATGCTAACCGCGCGGTAAAATGTGACGCAGTAGCGGCAAGCTTTTTCGCGTCCAGTGTGCAGAAGCCATTACTGTACAATATATTTATAAAGTTTCGCAAAAGTTACTTTCTTTAGAATAAAAAATAAACATATAATATGTAAAATAAGAAATAAAACTGGAATTTACCATAGAAAAACATATAAAGCAACAAAAAAAATCATCAAATTATATTCCCTCTATATGTATGATAACATAATATAATTAAGAATGAGAATAGTATAATTAAGAATGAAAAGTAAGTATCAAGCATGATAGTAATTATACACAAAAAATAACTCTTGTAACAAGTTAAAGTAACGAATAAATATAACGAGTCGATGCGTTACAAACAATGAGTCACGTTTTCCAATAAATAACGCGTAAAGGTAAGAAATTATTTTTTAAAATAACTTTTTCCTAATCTTAGCTTTTATCGTTTTCATAAAAAAATTGCAATATTATTATAGAAAGTAACAGTTAAAAAGTAATGGTCCCCATATTCCTACAAATAACTATCATGTCTACAAAGCCTACAGAAAAAATATTGTCGCATTAAAGTCTTATTACAGTTACTTTTTTGTGATAAAATAAAATTAAGAGATTCACGAAAAAAATCATTTTGAATGACAAAAAAATTATAGTATTGTACGCTTATATATTGCACGGAATTTTTTGACTCTTCTTATAGAATAAAGAACACATTAAAAAATGTCGATTCGAATGATGCTACGAAACGCAACCTATTAAATATTTAATTTTAATCTTTCATCATTCGATCATTAAAATAGCATTGCCTTTCGAATAGGCTGATTGGTCTCCTTCTTAATGACGATTACGTTGATTTGTCAAAATCTCGATTGAAGCAACTATTTTCCATTTCAAAAAGTGATGTCAAAAATTGTATTTCTAATCGTGCTCTGTCTCGGTATGGTAGTTTCCGCATGCCTTCTCCCAAGCGGACAAGAAATCCGTCCAGTGGATCAATCTCTTGCGTTGATGGCTCTTTCAGAGCTTCTATTAAAGCTGTTTGATAGGCATCATCTTGTGATGATTCTACAAAGAAATTAAAATTTCATTCCTGTGTGATAATTAAAAGAAACTTTGATAAATGAAAATATAAAAAAACAAACGTTTTCGTTTTGAACCATGTCTTTGTGTGGATAGTTTGCTTTCAGTTGATGGAAAATGATTTGTAGATGTTGAGGTTTGTGAAAGAACATTGATAGAATTGAGTATCTGTGGAGAAATATTTGTGGGTGTCGGCGTCCGCGAAGAAACATATGGGGAAGTCTGTGGAGAATTGTTAATAGCTGAAATGTGATGCATTGTCGAAGGCCCAGCTACAGCATCATCTTTGCGTCGCTTGTTTTCTATATTAAGTGAAGTGATT